GCCTATAAATACAAGGTTTAATTTCGGAGAAAGCTTTACTTTAATCTTCAAACCACCTCCAAACTTTTTATATCCCCTTCTCTTCATCTCTTTTCTCTCTCTAGCCGTTACTCCCGTTCCTTTTAGTGTTAGAAAAAACCAAACTCCGCCTATCTCCACTTCTTCTAACTTGAATCAATGGCGAAAACTTCAAACACAGTTCCTCAAAGGAGAAAGCTTCCTCCTCCTCTTCCCGGCCAGCCAAACTTGTGGCGCCGGCCCTTCACGAGATTATCCCCGGCCCCTACATTATAAAGAAGGACTTCAATATTGAAAACCCCCCCGCAATCCCTGGCCGATACGAGCATGTATCCCGATATATCAGTTCGATAACGAAGAAACATCTCAAGGCCATGAAGAAAGACTGTGGCTGGGGGAACGAGGTCGTGGTACAGATCCCCGACCCCGAGGAGAGCATTACTACTTATGTGGAGGGGTTCTTAAGTGTTTACACTTACCCTTTCACACTGGGTCCCCATGATCCAGTCGTGATTGACTTCTGCAAAAGATATCAAGTGACCCTCGGCCAGATCCACCCCTCTTTCTAGTGTATAATGATTATGCTCTGCTACTTCTCTAGCAAGGCCGGGGGGTTAGAGTTTACCCTCAATCACCTCATCCAATTGTATCGGCCTCAGCTTTTCCGAGGTTTGATCAAGCTCCAACGTCGATCGAGCAAAGCCTTCTTCGCTAGTAATGATGAGGATAAGGACCGAGGCTGGATGAGCTGGTTCGTCCGAGTGAGGACCTCGGACGTCATCCCCGAGGGAAAAATCCCGTTCCCAAAAAAATAGAACCCCAATCGTTAGTGAAGCTGATGGTTAACTGTAGTTAAGTCTAATTATCATGTTAACTAGAGTTAGTTAGATAATTAGTTTGTAAAGAGGCAGTTATTTTTGTTAAGTAGTTAGTAGTTAAATACTGTAGTCCTTGTACAGTTGATTATTCAGAAATGAAGAAGCTCTGCTCTTTCTTCTCCAATTTCCTCTCTGAATCTCTCACTTCTTTCTAGCTTCAGTTGATCTCCCATGGCTCTATCATGGTATCAGAGCCATCGGTATAAGATCTAATTTGAACGAGCAAACTAATTTCTTCGCTTAGGTTACTTCAATTTTGCATCTCAAATTGCAGAATTGCCTCAGAGTAACTCAGAATCGAAGCTAGGGTTTTGGAAGCTGTTCTTTCTTCGAAGCTAATTTTCTAGTACCAATGGCGATTGAAGGTGATCAAGTCAATGCCTCTACCACTCCAACTCGTACTGCTACAACTACGACCTCAGAGAATGGCAATTTTGTGGCCAGCTCCTCATTTCCTGCTGTCGATCACAACCATCCTCTGTACCTACAGCCTAATGACACACCAGGTAGTTCTCTGATCTCTCTTCAGCTTACCGGATCTGATAACTACGCCTTGTGGAGTCGTGCAATACAAATTGGCTTATTAGGTAAAGGCAAGTTAGGTTTTGTTGATGGTAGGTTTCCTAAGTCTAGGTTTGAACCTGAACTTCATGATTTATGGGAGAAAGTGAATGCTATCGTTTTGTCATGGATAATGAATGCTGTGAGACCAAGTTTGTTGAGTAGTGTCTTATATGCATCTAGTGCTCATAAAGTATGGAAAGATCTAAAGGAGAGATTTGATAAAGTTAACGGGTCCAGAATTCTGTACCTACATAGAGAAGTTCACAACTTAGTTCAGGGAGTTATGACAGTGACTGATTATTTCTCAAAACTAAGAGAACTTTGGGATGAATTTGATGCTCTTATGCCATGTCCTGGATGTCCTTGTCCTGAATCAAAGATGTATGCACAACATTTTGAGTATCAAAGACTGCTTCAGTTTCTTACTGGACTGAATGAGTCCTATTCTCAGTCAAGAAGCCAAATTATGATGATGTCTCCTCTCCCTAGTATAAACAGAGCATACTCTATGTTAGTTGATCAGGAAAGTCAGAGAAATCTTGTTACTATGCCACAAGTAGCCCAAGTTTCTGAAGCTTTGGAGAATTTAGCCATGTACAGTAACAAAGGGACAAATAACACTGGAGGCTACAAATAGAAAAGGAATCAAGTTCAATGTGAATATTGTCATTACAAGGGACATAACAAGGAAAACTGTAATAAGTTAATTGGATATCCTCCTGATTTCAAGTCCAGGAAGAAAAGTGTTAATGGTGGACAGTATGCTAATCAGGTGTACAGCCCAGAACTGAACTATGCAGACAGATATGGTATGGGAAATAATGTAGCTTCTAATGTGGTTCAACAAGGTAGAGTTGGTAGTCAGTCTAATGCAGGTGTCTCACAAACACAGCCAGCTAGTCAGCCTGCATTCTGTCAGCAAATGCCACTGTCTACTCCTGTTTTCACCCCTGAACAGTATCAGCAAATAGTTCACCTGTTATCCAAGGGAAGCACAGAAGGATCAGAAGCTTTAAACAAGTCAACAGCTGCACTTATTCTAAACAAAGTGAATGCATTTATGTCTCATTGTGTTAATGACAAGTGGATTGTTGACACTGGGCATCAAATCATATGACTTCCAGCCTTGAAATACTACATGATTATAAAGCACTCCCAAACATAGAAGAAAACAAAAGTACAATTACCTACTGGTAGTGTGGCATCAGTGTCACACACAGGAAATACCTTTGTACTAAACAACCATGAAATCTCTAATGTTCTGTATGTTCCTGACTTTAAGTTCAACCTACTCTCAGTTTCAAATATTACTAAGGAACTAAAATGTATGGTTGGCTTCTTTCCTGATTTCTGTATCTTTCAGGACCTCTTCAGTGGTCAGGTGAAGGGGATTGGTAGAGAAAAATATGGTTTATACATACTGCATGGGAGTACCTTTGTTGCAAACTCATCTCAGCCAACAAATAAATGTGCCAACACAACAAATGAAGTCCCTGCTGTTTCAGCAAATGATGAATCTAGTTCTTTACCTGCTTCCAGTATTTCATCTAGAACACATGTCTCTAGTATTTGTAGTTTGTGGCATAAGAGACTTGGACATGCTCCTATAGATGTAATAAAGAAGATAGAAGCATTGAATGGTCTGACAACAGGAGCTGTTAGTCAGCCCTGTACTGTATGTCCTGTTGCTAAGCAAACTAAGATGACCTTTCAGCTAAGTAATTCTACTTCTAAATCTATTTTTGAGCTAGTTCACTGTGATATTTGGGTTCCATATAGAGTACCTACTCATGATGGTAAAAGGTACTTTGTTTCCATAGTTGATGACTATAGCAGGTTTACTTGGGTATTTCTATTGAACTGCAAATCAGAAGCAATTGTAGTCCTAAGAGATTTTCTTACTCAAGTGATCAATGTGTTCTCTACTACTGTTAAAACTCTGAGAAGAGATAATGGAAGTGAATTCTTTAGCACTGCATTCAAGAATTTGTTGTCTAATCTTGGTATTGTACATCAGAACTCTTGTGTTTACACACCCCAACAGAATGGGGTAGTGGAAAGAAAACATAGAACCATTTTGGACATGGCCAGATCTCTTAGATTTCAAGCATCCGTGACTTTTTAAAATTCTGGGGAGAATGTGTTACTACAGAAGTGTATCTACTGAACAGGCTACCTTCTAAGGTGATTGGAAACAAATCTCCCTTTGAAAGGCTGTATCTGCATCCACCCTCTCTGTCTCACCTCAAGGTATTTGGTTGTCTGTGCTACTCTACTTCTCCTAAAGTCCTTGATGAGTTTTCACCTAGAGCAATACCAGATGTGTTCTTAGGCTACTCTTCTACTCAAAAGGGCTACATACTGTATGATCTACATGCCAAGCACTTTGTAGTTAATAGAAATGTGGTGTTTCATGAATCTATCTTTCCCTTCAAGCATACTAGGGATTCAGGAACTATGGTGTTTCCTGTTCTAGATCTACTTTCTCCTGAGTTGAATGCCTTCCCTACTTCTTCTTCAATACCTACAGTAGAAAGGTCAACTGAACCTGCTACAGATCAAATGCCATCTGATTATTCTGTAGAAGTTCCTTCTTTCTCTCCAGGCAGAAATTCTTCTGAATCTATCCCTTCTACTATGCCTAATCTTCAAGACAATGGCTGTCCTGAGTCATCTGTTGGTCAGTCTGATCTTGTTGAGAACCTTGAAGGATGCAGGAGATCCTCCAGACCAAGCAAACCACCTACGTGGTTGCAGGATTATGTCACTCTTTCCAAAGGCTCAAAATGAACTTATCCTATTTCTTCTTATGTTGATTATTCACATATCTCTCCAACCTTGAGACAGGCTCTCACAGCCTATTCAGCTATTACAGAACCTACTACCTTAAGAGAGGCTGCTGCTGATCCTAGGTGGGTGAAAGCTATGCAGTTGGAGATTGATGCACTTGAAGATAACAAAACGTGGAGTGATGTGGATCTTCCACCTGGAAAGACACCCATTGGCTGCAGATGGGTGTATAAAGTCAAGTACAAAGCATCTGGGGAGGTAGAAAGATTCAAAGCTAGGCTGGTTGCTAAGGGATACAGTCAAAAGGAAGGTTTAGACTATGGTGAAACCTTCTCTCCTGTTTCTAAGATAGTTACTGTTAGATCCATTATTGCCTTAGCAGCCTCTCAACATTGGTTGATTTTTCAGATGGATGTTCATAATGCCTTTCTCAATGGTGATCTTTTTGAGGAGGTTTATATGCATATACCTGAGGGGTTTGCTAGACAGGGGGAGAATCACAAGAGAGTCTGCAAACTTCATAAGTCCCTCTATGGACTTAAACAGGCTCCAAGACAATGGAACATGAAGTTAACAGAGGCCCTAGTGTGTATGGGGTTCCAGCAAAGCCATTATGACTATTATTTGTTTACAAAGAAGGCTGGGAGTGATATAGTAGTCATACTGGTATATGTAGATGATCTTTTGATCACTGGGAACAATCAATAGTTACTATGTGAAACAAGATCAGATCTCAAGAAAAGGTTCAAGATGAAGGATCTAGGAGAGCTAAAATTCTTCCTAGGTATTGAGTTTGTAATGTCTAGACATGGAATTCTCATGTGTCAAAGAAAATATGCACTAGAGTTAATCTCTGAGTCAGGACTAAGTGGTGCAAAGCCAGCGGGAACACACTTAGAACTGAACCAGAAGTTAACAACCACTGAATTTGATAAGTGTTTCAATACCAAGAACACTAACTCAGATGAAGTGCTGAAGAATCCTGGTACATATCAAAGACTGGTAGGAAGGTTGCTATATCTCACTATGACCAGGCCAGATATTGCCTTTGTGGTGCAAGTGGTCAGTCAGTGCATGCATAGTCCTAAAGTGTCTCATATGGAAGCAGCATTGAGAGTAGTAACATATCTAAAGCAGGCACCAGGTCTGGGACTACTTATGCCTGAAGAATCTTCAAGTAAGCTGACTGCTTACTGTGACTCAGATTGGGGGGCATGCATACAGACAATGAGGTCTGTTACAGGGTACTTAGTCAAATTTGGGAACGCACTGATATCCTGGAAGTCTAAGAAACAGAGTACTGTCTCCAGAAGTTTAGCAGAAGTAGAGTTTAGAAGTATGGCATCATGTGCAGCAGAGGTCATTTGGTTAACTGGTTTATTCAATGAGCTAGGTGTCAAGATTGAACTGCCAACAACCTTGATATGTAATAGCAAAGCAGCAATCCAAATAGCTGATAATCCAATATTTCATGAAAGAATAAAGCACATTGACATAGATTGTCACTTTGTAAGAGAAAAAATTAGCGTGGGACTACTGAGAACTGAACATGTAAATACAGAAGATCAACTAGCTGATTTGCTTACGAAGGGATTGGGTAAAGCTCAACATGAGTACCTGCTGGGCAAATTTGGGCTGAAGAACTTGTTTGAATCATCAGCTTGAGGGGGAGTGTTGACCAGTAGCCGAGTCACAAGCTGATGGTTAACTGTAGTTAAGTCTAATTATCATGTTAACTAGAGTTAGTTAGATAATTAGTTTGTAAAGAGGCGGTTATTTTTGTTAAGTAGTTAGTAGTTAAATATTGTAGTCCTTGTACAGTTGATTATTCAGAAATGAAGAAGCTCTGCTCTTTCTTCTCCAATTTCCTCTCAGAATCTCTCACTTTTTTCTAGCTTCAGTTGATCTCCCATGGCTTCTATCACTTCCTACAACCAACACTTAGACATCAATATCAATATTTACTCAAAAATTTCATGAAAAATTAAAATATTACTTGGTTTGGCTATATTATCATCAATCTTTAATATTTTTTTCAGAAATGTTTTTTACTCACTAACAAACAGAGTAAAATGACTTCTTCCACTTATGAATGAAAATTATTTCCTTACAACTATCTTAACTTTTACTTTTATATCACTTGTTTCAACCAATATTTAGACATTTATTATCAGTTCTTACTCGAAAATTTCATCAAGACTGATTTAGGGTTTAATTATAATCAATCTTTAATAATAAAAACTTTACAAAGAGAATTTCACTAACCAACCAAAATCAGAAAATATTGATATTTACTCAAAGAATAAGTATTTTTTTTCTATATGGAAAATAATTTCCGTCATACCTAACCCAAACAATATTTTGTAAAACGCTCAGTACATAAGTGGTACTTTCAATATTAATACACATCTTCCAGATAAAATAAACGGGGTTAAGTCGTCTTCATATATATCCGTTTACCTCGAAAATACGAATAACAATTAAACTTGTTTTATGGTTTTAAAGATATGCGATTTAGTTCAATACTAATTAATAACCAAGAAATCTAACGTATGAATGAAAGAAGTAAGTTGAATCAAACCAGTGTTCAAGCCAATCTTGACCTCGAGTTGTGGTGGCCTCGAGGTGGGTTCACAAGAACAATAATATAAGAACAATAAAGTTAAGAGACAATTCTGATGAGTAATGGAAAGGAAATAAGAGAGTATATTCTTTTGCCAGTGATTGATCATGGTTACAAATGATTTGGGTCCCCTTTATATAGTAGGGGAACCCTAAATAAGGTACATTACTATTTGCAGTAAAGAATCTTATTGGGACAGCTATTTAACTGCCTAGTACGGATTCGTACTAACTCGTACAAATCTATTTCGGAATTTACGCCATGATCTTGGGGACGTGGCGGGAATTTTGCTCTTTCTGTTACAAACACATAATGGCATCATCTCGAGGTTGGTCATACTCGGCTTTGGTGCTCATCGTGTACTTCGATCTTCGAACCTTATGTTCTATCCTCGGGCTCGAACCCGGCCCATATTGAGTCTGTTCCTCGATGCGAGCCCTCGAGCCCACAAAATCGGAGACACATGATTTTACCGTATACAGATAGTCCTCGCATTTCTTAGAGTAAAATGATAAGAAACGATTTGAACCTCGATTTTTCGGAGTTCCTGACGATGACGTCATTCCCGTGACGTAGGCGCTCGAAGTGACCGAAACATCCCGTCGGTTTGCTTCCCCAAAATATTAAATGCTTCTCGAGTGGTGGTCGGCCACTAGCACCATTGAACCGTCGCCGCTCGCCTATAAATACAAGGTTTAATTTCGGAGAAAGCTTTACTTTAATCTTCAAACCACCTCCAAACTTTTTATATACCCTTCTCTTCATCTCTTTTCTCTCTCTACCCGTTACTCCCGTTCCTTTTAGTGTCAGAAAAAACCAAACTCCGCCTATCTCCACTTCTTCTAACTTGAATCAATGGCGAAAACTTCAAAGACAGTTCCTCAAAAGGAGAAAGCTTCCTCCTCCTCTTCCCGACCGGCCAAACTTATGGCGCCGGCCCTTCACGAGATTATCCCCGGCCCCTACGTTATAAAGAAGGACTTCAATATTGAACCCCCCCCCCCCCGCAATCCCTGGCTGATACGAGCATGTATCCCGATATATTCGTTCGATAACGAAGAAGCATCTCAAGGCCATGAAGAAAGACTGTGGCTGGGGGGACGAGGTCGTGGTACAGATCCCCGACCCCGAGGAGAGCATTACTACTTATGTGGAGGGGTTCTTAAGTGTTTACACTTACCCCTTCACACTGGGTCCCCATGATCCAGTCGTGATTGGCTTCTGCAAAAGATATCAAGTCACCCTCGGCCAGATCCACCCCTCTTTCTGGTGTATAGTGATTATGCTCCGCTACTTCTCTAGCAAGGCCGAGGGGTTAGAGTTTACCCTCAATCACCTCATCCAATTGTATCGGCCTCAGCTTTTTCGAGGTTTGATCAAGTTCCAACGTCGATCGAGCAAAGCCTTCTCTCTAGTAATGATGAGGATAAGGACCGAGGCTGGATGAGCCGGTTCGTCCGAGTGAGGACCTTGGACGTCATCCCCGAGGAAAAAATCCCGTTCCCAAAAAAATAGAACCCCAATCGTTAGTGAAGTTCTTTTCCCAGTATCTTCTTATATTTTGTTTCCATTTTTTGTAATGCCTTTTACCTTTTTTGCATCTGTTGCTTGGATGCCCCGTGCTATCCACGACCTCGAAGACAAGGTCCGAAAATTGGCTGCGACCTCCTCGTATGACGAGTGCAAATGGCGTGACTTGTCGAGGGGCAAATGGGAGGCCAAATACCACAGTTAGTTCTTCTCCTAGGCCTTTGACGCTTTCCCTTTTATTGGAGGCGTTGTCTTACTTATGCCTATTTTTCATTTATGCAGGCATTGGAGACATCTCCAAAATGTGGCCACCGCCCGGGGAAGAGACCGAGTCCCCGATTCCAAAATCGAGAAAAGATAACAAGAGGAAAAGGGCTTCGAAACCCGAAGACCCCCAAGATAAGAAGGCCCCTGCTCGAAGGAAAAGGAGGAAACTTATTCAAGTGAACATAGATTCAATCCATCAACTTAATCACAAAGAAGAGGACGAGGGCGAAGAAATAGCGTTGGTAACCCGAACCTAGAAGCCATTGAGGCCGTCAAGCCCTTGGAACCGGAAACCCTGCCTCGTGAAGAGGAGGCTTCGAAGAAAAATGCGGGCAAGGCCCTCGAATCACCTGAGATTGAGATTATTCCCCCGCCTTCAACAAGTACACCAAAGGGGGCAAGTACCGAGACCCCTGAGGCTAGACAAAGCGCCCCGAGTGACTTGCTCGGGGCCATGCCAATTGGTCACTCCCCTGCTCTACTCTCTTATTCTGAGGAGGCAATAAAGGAAGCTCAAGCTCTGCGAACGCCCGATCCGAGCAGTGTCCTCGGTAAAGAAGATCCTTTTCGGGATTGCTTTACTGGGGTCGATGATGCCGCCAACTTCAACGATGCATCTAACCTCCTTGAAGAGGCACATCGCCTTTTCTCTCGGTTAAGCATTAGCTCTCATCGTTGCAATTTTTTCTTCTTCTTTCATACTAACTGATATCTTTTTTTCTGCATAGGCTATTACCAAGTTTAGGGCCGAGTTGAGCCAATGCGAGGTCGAGCTCAAAAAGTCCTCGGATGAAGGGAAGGCCCTGAGGATCCTTTGTAGCCAAAAGGAGGAGGAGCTCAAGGACCTTCGGGCGGACTTAGACAAAGCTCATCGAAATGAGGGCGAGTTAGATAAGCAGGTAACCGTCATTATGCAAGAGTATGGTCTACTTGACCCGACTGTGGAGGCTAACACTTTAGTGTCTCAGCTGCAGCAAAAATTGGAGATGATCGGGAAGCTTCGAAGGGAGGTCGATCAAGTTAAGGCCGACTGCAATCAGTGGAAGGAAAACATGGATCGGCTTGCTGTTGAGAAAGAGGCTACTCTAGCCAAACTGGCCGCGGCTGAGACCCAGCTCCGGGGAGTCAAAGTGAAAAATCTGGCCCAGGCCAAGAAGATCGATGAGCTCGAGGTCAAACTTGCCGCAACCGGGGCTGAGGTTGTTGAAGCCAGGGTCGAGGTCGAAAAGACGAAGGCCATGGCTGATAAGATCGTTGTTGTGTATATAAAGGATGCCGAGGCTGCTCAAGTGGAACTAAGGGAAGCCTCAAACTGGGAGAAACGAATAAGTGATTTGGCCACGTGCCAATCCCGGAGGTTCATGCTCGAGGCTTCTTTGAAGAGATTCATGCTCGAGGCTTCAACCTCACCGAGGAGATAGCCCAAGCAAAAGCGCTCAAGACCGATGCCAAGTTCCTCGTCTCTTCCTCCGACGATGATGATGATGAAGGCAGCCAGAACAGTTCTGATAATGAAGCTGGGCCCGAAGAGGAAGCTGCTCCCGAGGGAGAGACCAGCCCTAGGCATAGATAGGATTTTTCATTTCTTCTTGTATTGTCCTTTTTGTAAGACCTTTAATCGGTCCCTTGTATATATCTTTTTCCAAATATATAGTAGAAGAATTTCCTTGATTGTTTTCTCGATATTTCTTGCCTTGTAAAATTCTTGTAATGACTTCATCCTTTTTGATTGTGTGTTTGAGATTTTTTCTTTGAAATTTCCATGGCCGAGTTCGAATAAGTTCGAGCTTTTGGGAATAGACCTTTACGGGCTTGTGCCGGATAATGGTGAGTCTCCGAGCCATGATCAAGCCATTATTAGTTTAGGCTCGGGATGATCAAACGCTTGGGTTCGAATTGAGTGAGAGCGAGGTCTTGAACCTTATTTATATCGACCTTTTAGGCTTACTAATCAGCACTTAGGCTCTTTCACATTGGCCCTTAGGCTCTTTTATATGACCCTTAGGATCTTTTAGGTCGGCCCTTAGGCTCTTTAAGTTGGTCCAATTCGGCCTCTAAAACGGCTATAATTTTTCCCTCTTTTCGGCTAAAAGACTTAGTGAAAATTTCATTATGACTTAGCATGTGTTTTTTGTACCCGTTGGGTTTTTCGAGGGTTCAATCGATCAGAACCCAATTTTTTCTTAATCCGTTTGTGTTAAGATAATTTAATACCTCTTGAGGCTTTTTCGAAGGCTGATATTAT